TTCATTTCATGACTGTATTTGTCTTCAAGTGACGTACAAATTATCTCAGTAGTGTCCTTACGATTGTTGAAATTTACTGGTTATTAACTTCGTTAATATGTTTGTGATCACTATGTGATCTTATTAAAAAAAACTGTTTCGCGATTAGTTTAGGGTTAGGGTCCTACCAGTAGGTTAATGTTTGGTTTAGAGAGTTATAGCTATAGTAAAATTTCACGAGAAATTTTTTTTGTTAGTATGCAGAAGGCACTTTAATAGGCAAAATTTTGAGCTACGAGCATTTTGATTTTTTGTATTTCGTTTCGCTACACAAGATCTTGAGATCTGATTGGCCAGCGAAATTAATTAGGGTGGTGATTTAACTGCTGTTCTTTTTAGGTCAAGTCAAACTTGACCCGGGTCAAAATTACTCCTAGCAGAATTTTAGGGGTTAGTGCGGGCCAGAATTATGTCGATGCCAGCCAGGGTTTTTTAATTGATTTACTCAAAATATATAAGCAGATCACAAACATATTAACGAAGTTAATAACCAGTTAATTTCTTTCAACAATAAGTAGTAAACATATTCAAGATCGCTATACTACATCTTAACCTTCATACAAATTCAAATAATAAATCATTCTGACAGCTTTCTAACTTTGCATGTTCTTAAAACTAATAAAGCAAATAAAATCCATCCAATTATATATTACAACATTACATTTTTAGCCTGCATCAGGACAGGTTCTAATATTGTGTCTATAACTTTCACAATTAGCACAATTATTTTGTCTTTTTTCTTGTACATTATTAGTATTAAGTCCACCTCGGTTTTGCTGAGTATTACTAATATCTTCTAATACACTTTTGAATCGTTGTTTTGGTGGGCGTCCACGGCGTTTAATCACAATTAGATTGATAACTACAACAGGTTCGTGAGACTCATAGCATTATCTCCCTCTTCTAAAAGTTGCAACTCTTGTGTTTTGGAAGAAATGAAGTCCTCCATCATTTTATAGAATTCACCATCACAATTGAGATGTATTATTAAATTTAAAGCTTTTTTAGACATTCCATATCCTTTAGCCCAACATGTCTTTTGCTAATTGATTTTTTCAAAGCAGGAGTAAATGCATTAGAAGCACGAAATTGAGACAAACATCCAAAATCAATTGCATTATTGATATTATTAAATGATGAAGGTTGATTGGTTTTGCTGCATAGACTAATAGGTTGAAGTGTTGCAATAAGATCATCGTCATTATTTATCTTACTACTTTTATACCATCGACTTGAAATAAGAGAAATGTGAAATCTAGCAAGATGAGATTTTGTCAAAACTTTTAAGAAATAACGACAGACAATCCCTTTAGTGATCAAGGTAAGACAAGTATATAAGTGGTGCCGTCTGCAAGTATTATAACGTGATTACTGAAATAGTTTAGAAACATTCCCTGTCATGTTATATACCAAACCTGTTCAACATATTCTCTTCTTAAGGTTTGCAATAATGATTTGAGACCTATTTGGCACTGCTCATAATCATCTTCACGACATCCATTATCAATAATATTCTCAGGTTCTGAAAAAAAATTGTCTCACTCAATAGAAAGTTCGACAACATCATAGAGAAAGCTTTCTGAAAGTTGCTGCCTTTGAAGCGAAAGAATATGTGGAGTTAAGTACTCTCGGAGTAAGGAATCGATGGTTAGAAAATAATGACTTGCAACGTGAAGTAATCCAATAGTAGGATTCATATTCTTTTGTTCGTTTATTTATGCGTAATGCGCTTCTTCATTTAGACGATTTTGTATTGTATCAACCAAATGTAGTAATGTTGTGCTATGTGAAACTTCCTTTTTGATGATTCTATTGATACTCTCTATTCGCTGTGTACTTTGGATACCAGCTATGAAACGTGTCTGTGTATAACATATGGCCCAGCTATGGCGTGTAGGATAAAGTGTTTCAAGCCCATAATGAAAAGCCTTAGGGAATGGTTCAAGAAATGCAATAAATTGCACTCAATGATGCTCAAAATTAGCTTCAAATAAACTATTACGAGAACGATAGAACAGTTTATAACATTTATTAAAACTAATACCTATAATAGGCTTAAGTTTTTTAATAAAATTGTTGTTCATATGAAAGATACAATGTGAATGATGAGTATCTGGCCATAGATTTCTCAAAGCTGCACCCATGGCCGGGTCCGCATCTGAGTAAATAGTTTTAGGAATAATGTCATTTGTTGCAGCATTTATTTGTTCCAGTACCTATTTATAAGAAGCCTGAGTTTCATCTTCTAAAATTGCTTGTGTTGTGATACATAAACGAGTATCATTGTCAACAACCAAAAACAAGCACAAAGCCATTTCATATCAATTAGTTTTGCAAGTGTTGTCAGTTATTACGATGTCACAAAATTGAGACCATAGCAACACTTGTGAAGGGGACATCCAAAAAAGTGCAGTTAACCTGTTTCCTTCATCAATTTTAGGTACTACTACCCATTGAGGATCCTCTGTTTTTAAAGCTAATAAACGATGCAAAGTTTCTGTGATATCATTTTTTATGTTTTCAAGAGATGGTGATTTGAACTGTTGAACAGCGTTATATACATCCTTTTTATTAATATACTTATCAGGGTATTTTGCATGTAGAATATTATACTGCATTTTAGCACCTATGCCAATGCTATGACAAGTATAAAACTTTATATCTTCGAACATTTCTTCTGACAATCTGCGAAAGCGTGGTGCTGTTTGATCAATGATGGGGTTCATTTCATGACTGTATTTGTCTTCAAGTGACGTACAAATTATCTCAGTAGTGTCCTTACGATTGTTGAAATTTAC